TTTTAGTGCCTCAAAAAACAAACATACCTAGACGTTTGTGTCTTTCTACAACTCACATCATAAGGTATACTAAAACTGTGTTTTCCTCCAGCGAAGTTGAGTGCTACAGTGGGGATGATGTGATACGTGCTTATTATTAATATTGAAAAAACTATTCAGAAAAAGTTCCTGCTTTTATGTCTACCCCAAAGTAATGTAGCTTTTAAGTTTCAATAACTGTTGTTACCAGAACTTCGGTACTTTCAAACATGATAATATAGTAGGGGAGGCAGCGACATAAATTTCCGGGTCATTTTCTCCAGCTTTATTTTTTGAGCATGAGTTATGCATATGATATGGAACTCCAATATGAACATCTTGAGATCCACGTTTTTCCAAACAAAAATTTATTTAGTATCAATGTCCATGGCCATTATTCTCAATCCAACCCATATTAAACCTGCTTATGCTTTATGTTCGTCTAATTATTACTTTTAACTCAAAATAAGGCAATTCCACAAATTAAAACTGAATGTTTATTGCATTTTAGTCAATCAAATATTTTCCGAACCATCTTCGTAAATCCAAAGAACCAAATGTTTTGTAGTTACAAAATAAGAAAAAAAACAGAAAATAGTTTCCAAACAACGAAGTTACATGTTGTTTCAAATTTGATATTTACTTAGGGGCAAGCACTTTTCGTGCAATACAAATTTTCTGGGAACTGCAAATTGTCTGCAAAATATTTGGTTGGTATTACGTCGTCGTTACAGACAGTTTAACACCTGGAAGGATTAACTAAAGCCAGTAAGAATATACTAATAACTAAAGTTGCGGTTTTCAGAATAAATTCGGCATAGTCACGTTTTCACTCATTAATTGATTGCTTCAAAAGTCGGTAGGCAAAAAACAATCTACTTAGCGTTATATCAATAAAATATTAATTAATGATAGTTTACGATCAGACGTTATAACTTGTTTAGTCTTAAGTGGTACAAAGTCATCCTTAGAACTCATTACCTTCGGATTGTTTTTTTCTTCTAATTAGATTTCTTTAAACCAGCGAATAGTACAATAACTAATAACAGTTAAAATAGCAATCTTCCATGGTATGATAATACAGGCAATTTTGAAAAATGTCCGTTTCTAAACTAGGTATATGCAACTCACAATATTATGTCGAGGTTCCTGCTAGCTTTTAGTGAAACTGCCTGAATGTGACGCATGAAAAATAATCTCAAAATCATTTCCTGTTTGCATGTAGATGATCCTCCAGAAATATTTTTGGTGTATATTCCTTTGAATGGAATAAATACTTGCTTGCGGAATACAAAGCCAAAAACTCATCCACAGAAGAAAGTTTTAAATTCTAAAAATACCTTAGCTGGCCCGCAAACCACAAATTACGTTTAGAAAGGGGCGATAGGTAAACGTTTTGCAATGTTTTGTTTGGAAAATTATTTACTTTGGAAACATTCTAAACGACCAAGGGATATTTGATGTATAATATTTATGTCGATTTATAAAATCAAAATATAAATGCGTTGTAGGTTCATACTCGTTTAATTAAAACGTTTTTGACTGACACATGAAGACAAAATCATTAAATGGAAGTCCATATTTTACGACAAATTATTGAGAACATACTCCATCATATCTAGTTTGATGACTAAGGCATTTGTATCTGAATTTCGTTAAAAATAGTTATATGTATTCTGAAAGCATATTTTCGTTTTAAAACACTTTGTCTGTGAATGAAAATACATGTTCTATAAAAGGTAGCATCAAAGTGATTAAAAATACATAGAATGTGTATTAATTCTATTAAATACACCGTCTTCGCTTCGTAGTTGACTTCGGTTTCTTGATGCGTAAAATTGTTGAAGGTTTTTCGTGCGATATGCGAATGGGACGTTAGTGAATCGTCCGAAAAATTACTTTTTGTGAAGATTTTGCCAAAAATTTCGGTTATTCATCATTACACTTATTAATTGACCATAAACTTCCATTATCCGATCAAGATCCTATACAAGTACCTAACTGTTGTGAAAGGCATATTTCGTTCGCATTGATTTTCTTTTTTTACCATATTTGTCAGCTGGATGCTCTGGTATAGAATTGATATTGTCGCTTTTGTTAAAAATAATTCCAATTATAGGAACATCACCACATTATCCTTTTTTACTTGGGAATTTACGTTCATCAGCCGGGGCAGGATGGACGATAGGATCAGCCACAAACAGAGGCATTTATTTGAGTTTAATTACCTATTTCTTTATACAGGGTGTCCCGTAAGCACATGATTAAAGAAGTACTGCGACATTCTTTGGCTTCACACAGACAATCTGGTCCAACTTTTATTAAGAGAAAAATCGTGGCACTACAAATTGATGGTCAACTTTATTTAAAAATTGTGGTTTCTGAATATAGGGAGAATGATCAGAAGGATTTTAACGAAATTAGCAAGCAGTCGAGTTCATCCGTTTCGGACAGGTGGCAAGTTTTTGAGTGCCTTGGTTCAAAAACTACCAGAACTTTTTAATTCTTGGTTGAAGTCAGCTCGAGTTTTTTTAGTTAATGCTCTTGAGCGATCAAATTTGGTCTAAAGTGTGCATCATATGAGAAAGTTTCTTATCATTGATTATTATAAAAACTTTATAAAAATGGTCTATAGTATAGAGGTTAGTTCTCAGTGTTATTTGTTTCAAAACGTGTTAATACTAAACTGTCCTAATCTTTTAAAAAAAGGAAAATTTAATTAACGAAAATGTATAGCATTGTCATTTTCAGTTTTTAGAAAAGACTGCATAACAAGGAATCCCCACTTTTGTAAAGTTCTCAACTGGTATGATCAACTCTATGATCGATAAACCTGACTGATGGAGAAATTGATAAATTTGTTGAAGATGGTTATGTGCGGCGTTTTGATGTTTATAACTTTTTTGCGTGCAGAAGGTGTAAAAGATAAGTTTTCTATGCATGAAGTTGGAGGAAAGAAAAGCAAAACCGCGTACAGAACACGCTCTAAGTGTTACCTAAAAATTAATACCAAATTGAGTGCCAGCCAACTCAAAAAAATCTTCAGATAGCAAAAGTAGAATAAGTTGTGTTATATTCGCATGCTTTAGCTCCGAGAATTTGTGACAGCACTTTCCAGCGACTCCACGGTCCACGGATCTACAATAAAGTATTTTGTAGGAATTTTGACTAAAAATAAGCCAAAACTAGAAATTCGTTTCTTAACCATCTAGCTTGATGGTTGATGGGTTTTGAACCCTCCAACATCAAAGTTGGAAAACGTTTACTTGCAAAGTATGCTTCTTAAGAAACACTGTTTTTATTTGAAAGTTCATCCTTGAAGGTTTCTCAATCCCTTGTATTAAAAACCAGCCTCAATCCCTTGTATCGAAAAGTAATACATTATTACAGAAGTCGCATCGTATAGTTGAGCTAACATAATAATAATTTGTTATTTATTTAATTTCTATAAATTATTTTCCACTCACAACGTTGTCAAAAAAAAAAGTCAAAATTATTTAGATTTCAACAGCATTTTTCTGATGTACCTGGTGACAGTGTTTCCAGATATTTCACAATTGAGGCGATGATCTGCAGACCGCAGTTTTTTAAATATTTTGCAGACTGAGTTTGACTGTGAAAATTGCCATAATAAACTACTAAACAAGCTTTCTTACAAAAACTATGTTTAAAAAATCACATAGCAGTTTCTGTTGGTTTAGCATGTTCCTTTTTATTTGTTTCATTTTCAAATAATAAAGCATGAGAAACTTTACAAACTGAATGTTTGGCAAGATCTCTGGCAAACCTATGCTGCAAACATCGTTATTGTAGAATTGTTTATTTCTTAACTGGCTGTTGTATCAGTAACCGATTTTTGTAGGTAAAATGTAGATATCACCCAATGTCCAATGTCTCCTTTGATTTTCCAACACTTTCGAAACGTATTTTTCGTCGATTCATGAAAATCATATTAACGACTTAACATCCATGATTTATTGAAGGCGAGTGGACAAGAATTGGAAATGTAAAGAATGAGCATTTTTGATATTGAGATAACAAAACAAAACATGGAGGGAAATTTCCGCATGGCCAGATTCTTAAAAAGATCCGTACAATTGCACTAAATATTTAAAAGTATTTGGTAATACACGTCGCTTCAAAGTAGATATAATTTGATACCTAAATTAATCAGAATTGAAAAAACCATTTCGTATGTCTAATACATAATTAAATAAATCCTAACAGTCCATAATTATATGTTTAATGATAAGCTGCTATTCAATAATACATTGTGAACGTTACGTAGATACCTGCCTAATTAAACCCGGTTAATAAGTGGTTGGAAATTCATTCGACAATGAACCGATAAAATGAGGACTGCCTGCCAGAAATTGACTGAAACCGAAATAGGCTATTTAGCCTTTATATTTATATAATTTTCCAAGATTGGCGTCAGTTGGATCCAGTGTGAGTTGGATGTGATAAAATTGCTAATTTCTTGGTCGTACGAGTTTGCGGGTTTTGCTAACCGAACATTTCAGGTTCGAAGATAATCGGTAGCTATGAATTGAATCTGCACTCAACGTCCTGGTCTATTTGCTTTCCATTGAAATTAATCCCATGAATTTTGCATTCGAAAAAACCATACCGAAGATCTGACAATGAAATTATATTAAATCGGACCGTTACAATAGATTTTCCCACACAAAACGAAAGCCGAGCACATCTTAATATATTGCTTCAAATCGCGGCGACGTAAAAAACTAATTAGAGCTTTGGTACTACCAGATTACTCGCTCCTCCCATGAAATGCGGTGACAAAACGCGTACCTGTCAACAGCATGAATTAGAAGAATGACGACGGAGGCAAACTCGCAATCGCAAGTGGAAGTAGGATCGAGCAAGCCAATGAAACAAGCAAGAACATACGAAGGCGGTCTAAGTACCATAACCACCTCGATTTTCTTAGCCCACTGTTCGGTACCGCGGTACCACTTCTCATACTTATGCTGAGATACGTGAGCGCAACTATATCTAAGTAGTATTTGAATGTATGATAGTGTCGTGGGTGAATGAAGACTCGCGCGCGATTCACCCTCTTTTCGGTACTTCTAACTAACATTTATGAATAAGATCAATTTAAGACAAAAACTAGTATACCTAAATCGAAATTGTTAGAAAATTTGCTCTTGTTGTGCATGCGAGTGACCTTAATGTTTCGTTTTGTTAAATAGTAGTGATGATATATGGACTCTTGTGACTTACCAGGATATTAACTTCAAGTGAACCCACATTCAGTGATTGTGTAAATTTTATTTAAAATCCCCATTTGTCAATTTGGAACTAATAACCGGTGAACTTTATTTCAATTGAGGTGAGTAACGGCAAACCCTTTTAACTACTTACGCATGTTTCCTAAATTACAAGCTGTGTGAACTTCGGTGTCCCGATTACACTGTAAAAAAAAAGATAAAAGTTTGGAAAGATGCAAAATACAATGCTATATGGAATTGAATCAGGACCACAGTAGGTACAGGAATTCTTTAATTTTTGGAAACTGATATCAGACCACATTCCATACCAACATTTCGGTATATACAAAAAGCTAATTGTTCTGAACGAGTTTTGGAAAGGAATAAAAATAGTTTCCTTTAAAAATTTCAAAGAATGCAGTTTAATCATACATTTTGAACCTTTAGAATTTATGCATCATTTATTTGTACTAACTAGTAATTAAGCGTTAAATAAAGAATATGTTACGACTCTTACCGCAACACGACACAAAGTACGCAATCATTACACCATCCAAACGTCACAAGCTAGCAGATGGGGTTCCGTAAAATTTACTATCAAAATACCCTCACACAAACTTCAGTAGTGTTGAGTCTGGCGATTTAGGCGTCTTCTGCATGGGTCCACTTGACTCTTCTTTGATTGATTCTTTTTTAAATCTCCAGATGCAGAAGGTATTCTTGAAGAAATTGAAAACAACGCTCATTATTTAAAATGTATTTTTAGAAATATATGCCAATCAAACTCCAATTAATAATACAAAAGTATCTTAAGTTTTCAATCATCTTCACTAAACGATAATTTTGAGTAACCCAAAAATGCAAATTTTTTGCCAGATATACAGGGTGATTTCCGTAGACCGTGCATTAGAAGTTTGCCAACTTGGATTACAATTTTAAATTTAAAGTCATATTCAGATCTATAACTCCCTTCGAACTACACACATAAGCACAAAATCCGAAGTTTGTTTCATTGAAAAAAACATATGTATTTTTTATAATTGCAAATTAATGCAATTATTACAAAAAGTTGTTGATAAATATGAGCATAGCTTTGTAAATTTTAAGCCATTGAGCTCGAGATAAATGTGTTAGTCTAAAGTTTTTGCCGCTATTTCCGATCCTGTGAGCGAATTATTTTCAAAAAAATCTTTAGTGTTGTATAAATCATTGGTTACTAGAACCATGAAAACCGCAAAACAGTTGGTTAATGTGTGAATAATGTGAAGTTAAAGCTATCTGCAATATTAGACTTTTTAAAATTAATATTTTAGTTGTTTAATCTAATCTTTCCTCCAGTAAACTTTTCTTAAAATGAAAATAAATTAAACATTACATTCCTGAAAAAATATGACGTTGTCTCAACGTTATCTGAGTAGACAACATGGTATTTCCGATTACCTAACCAAGAGACACCAGTTTGGTTACAGAAAATAATAAAATCCCTTTTATTGGTATTATAAATTAGAATCAATCAGAACAATTATAGGCGACAAGCGTTCGATTAAACCATCCGTAATTTTTAAGCATTCCCGGTATTACCCACGATAATTGCATTGCAAGAATCAAAAATTACACAGCATATTTTACTGTTTAATTCGGGATTCTGTAAACATTTCTGCCATAGCTTTTTGCCAATTGCATTCTTTTAGTTCTGGAAATATTTTCGTAAATTGCAGTCGCAACAGCAACAACAGCAAAATAGTCAGAAACAACAGCATTCGAGCATGTTGTCTTGAAAAACTGTGTTCAGTAATATTCATGTTTTATTTACAAGTTTTCTTTCTTCCGACTATAGAGCCAATATTTGTAAATAAAAACCATCATCTCGTGGAGTTTTTAACAAACGCGCTGTCATGCAAAATTATCGATAACTTTGTTGCACTTGTTCCGGATAGTTGCCTTGTTGAAATCGCTAATTGCATTGTGAGTATCGAAAATTGCACTGCCAGGTTTGCTGTTGGAATCAGGTACTTACTTATAAAAAGGCCCACTTGAATCGTTTTCGTTTATTTTAATATTTGGGTTTGTAAAACGGTTGGCAGAAATACAGCAAAATGCACGATCAGGGCCTATAAAATATATTATATTTTGCTAGAGAGCTCGCTCCTATACCTGATTTTTGCTTTAATTCTCCTTTTGGAACCTTCACCGGATAGTGCCGACCCGTGCAGATCGCCACCCCTGTGCTCTATCCGCACGTGAACTTTTAATATTCTTCTGTACAATTTCTATTAACTCTGATTTTGCATCTTTTTGACTAGTGCACTGTATACTTTGTATTTGCGCGTATTGACTTTAAATAAATACCCCATTTACTAATAAAATTCCAACAAAACCAATCTTTAAATTCCGATTTAAATTTTGAACCGAAATACCTACATTAGACCGGGTGATTTGAAGAAATTGCGCAGTTTTTTACATTTAATTGAAACAAGTGGAGGTTTGAAGAAATATAGAAATGAAATGATGTTTCAAATAAAACACGCGGAGTTCTAAAGTTACCAATAGAATTGACGAAATTATCCTCGGTAATAAAGCTGGCATTTCCAATTATCGATCAATTATAGTAAAAAATTACCTAATAGCAGTTGAATAGCTGGACTTTTTAACATCTTAAAGTTTTCAGTTTGTAGTCTCCAAACTGAAAAACCAACTTTTCTTGAAAGTAGTGCATTAAGAAATTAATAACGCTTTTCAATAATAGTGTCGTCTTAAACAATTGCACTTGATCATTGTCATATTCTGGTAAAAACTTGTTTTTTGTTAAACGGAAAACGTGGATAAATTATGAAAGCTGGATTATGCAGTTTTATACAACAGTGTTATGCCAAAATATGTATCCAATCCATACACTTGTGGAGTTTCGGTTTTATCGATTTTCTGGGATTATTTCACAAAATATATTTTGCAATTGTCGACGTGAATAAACAAAACTATTTAATTCGATTGTATTGCTTTAACTAAATGTATTTGGTAATTTACATATTTTCTTAGCCAATTTATTTTGCTAACACGGAACTTTTCGTTGAAGCATAAAACCTAACAGATACATTTTTAAGCAACACACTGAACTGCAAAATTATTGATAACTTTAATGCACTCGTGCAATTACTCGAGGATAATTGGCTTGTAGCAATCGCTAATTATATTGTACGAATCGAAAATTACACAGCATGTTCTACTATTTGATTCCGGTACCTATAACAAGATTATTTTCTTCGTAAAATGCATTTTTATAACTTTCGAATTAAATAATCAAAAAAATTCATCTTTGAAGGTGTTCTCTTGCAGTAACTGCATTAAGCCCCGTATACTGTTTTTAAATAATAACCCGTTCTCGTTGAACTTGGAATATTGAGCTTTAATATTAAACTGTTTATTCATGGACGTCAGCAAGGTTTTCCAGATTGTGCAACATGCAACATAGAAGAGGCCTTACTTTAGATGATGCACCAAGAAGTGCATATGGACATGCCCCTCTCTTTTTAACATAAAATCTAAAAATGATCAGATGATCCGATAACGGAACCACAGAAAGATATTAAATACCTAGGAATTATCGTAGAGAGAAAACGTAAACTAACTAAAAACGTCACTAATATATTACACGCACTGACTGAAAATACAACTAATAAAGCTAAACAACATATACAAATAACAGAACAGAATGCATTAAAAGTGACGAGAAGTCATCTGCAAAATTAATTACACAAGGCACCAAACCAGCTCTAGTATAGATAAGTTCTATATTGTTGAGGCGGACTTATTTTTTACAAATTTATTTTTGGGTATTTCGCCTCAAAAATTTTTGTCTTAATAAAAGACAGAATTTTCTCACGTCTTTTATTACAGATTGAGAAATAGTGCTCCTATTTCGCAATAAGAACGAATTATTTATCAAAAAGTAATCAAGAACTATCACCTAGAGGGTATCCTGCGACACACTTAGGCTCAAGCTGTAAGAGAAAATTTCAATTAGTAGAGAAATTAATTTGAAAAATTACCTTGACGTTTCGATAGCTATTTTCTGCTATCGTTATCAAAAGAACCTAAATGAACCTAAAAAAGAGTATGTTAATAAATTGTGTAACAATAGTAGGATAATACAGTATATGAAAATTCGCTCTGATAATTCGTCTGTGCAAAATGTATGATGTAACAAACATGACAAAAATAATTGAAATAATGCTCCAATTATCCGGGCTACCATAACTGGACCATGTTGATTGAACTCATTTTGCATTATAAGACAAACTAAAGAATTCCTCTTCTTTTTCCCAACATCTCTACTAGATCACCTACAAACATAAAATTCAATAGTAATAATAATAAGACTGTAATATGGCATTACACCCATGGGCTAAAAGACCGACTGTATCGATCTCTTTTCTCATACGAAATAAAGATTGATTCGCTTCTATCTATCCATGAAATTACCACCCCAGTTTCAAATACATATGTTGCAAAATTGCCATTACTTCTCATGAAATTACTTCTGATAACTCAATTGTAAGTATTGTTTTCCGCTTTTCGTCAACATTTTGCACAATAATTATTATTATTAATTGCACATTTTGTTGATTGATCAATATCATAATTTCCATATCTTGTTCAATTATTGCTCTTTCTTTTCTTACAATTGCAGTTTTGTTAAATTAAGAAAACCCTCTATTGAAGTTTTTATTTAGCATTTATTAAGCATAGTTCTTGATCACTTTGTTGCAGTTGTGCAATTACGCCGAATAATTGACTTTAATAGTTTCTCATATATTGTTAACATCGTACGACAGACAAGGCATGTGATATATGGTTTAATACGAAAACTATCTTACGCAGTTGAAGGCTTATTAAACATATTATGAAAGCTATATTAAACATGTACGAACATTTTCCCGATCTACTAAGCGACGGTAATCATTGAAATATTTTTAATTTTTTATTACAATATTAGCATTACCAAAATTTAGCACTTTTTTTCTAAATTGCGACATGAAATAAATACACGATGAGAGCAAGAGTTTTTTCGGCAATTAGTTTTGCAAAATTGGAAAATGCAAAAATCTTGGGTTTCACGAATCTA